TTCTGTGCGGAGAGGACTACCCCCGATATTGTTAATTCTTGAGGGGAGCCTGGGTGTCACCAACTGGAACCTGGCCCAGGAGGTGACCTGTTGAGAGCAGGGATTTCCATCTGCATTCAGCATGGCTGGGGAGGAGAAGTTTTCAGAAACAACCCATTATTCCCAAAAACTTCTCGAAAGGGCTTTTAGGAATCCTCACTAATCGCCCCACATTTACCTGAATTGCAAGAGACAAAAGCCTGGACAATAGCAGTAAAACACTGTCATCAATACACCCTCGAGGGAAAACTAACTGCAAGTTCTTTTTCCTAGCAACGGTGGTTTCCCCAAACCTGCTTTTCGCCAAGTCACACTACCCCTTGGGCAGTAAGGCACCGCTTTTCTGCTGAAATAAACCCCATTTCGGTGTCCGCTAAGATAACAAACCCCATTTCACCATCCCTCTTTCCCCAGGCTCACAGCTTCATTCTTCTCAAGCAAACAGATGAGGAGGAACATCTGAGGTTGGCATGAAGAGACAGGAGAGCAGAGAGCACTTGATAAGAGATTATTCGGGTATAATTAACCAACCGTGGTGAAATGAGGTAAAGGCGCTGGAACCGGTCAGCAAACCCAACACAGGGGTTGAAGTGTGATCCCCAAATATCTACCTGCCAACATCTGTGTGGAAAAGTCTACGTGCACAGCTGGAGAAAAGGAGCTGCTCCTGTTGTGCCTCCTCTTCCAGCACAGCATCAGCTACAAAATTTTCTAACGTATTAACAACCTAAACCACGAGATTTTCCTCCTTGAAGCCAAAATCCCCAAAAGACCGGAAATTACTTTCTTTAACAAAAGCAGACTCACACTTGTAATACATGAAGACTCACTCTTACCCAAAAAAAGCAATGCAAGACCTTCCCTTTCAGATTTAAAAAAAAAAAGTTATCAGGATTGTGAAAACTTACTGTACAATGTAATGAAATTTAAATTGCACTTGATTATTGCAGCCTTTGTCTTCAGTTTTGCCTACAGGAAAGTATCTTTACCAAAGGGTTATGAATATCTTTCCCCAAAGACCCACATTAAAAAACTAAGAGAGGAAAAAATTTCAAGCAGGTTAAAGACCTTTTGAACTTCTCATCTCTCTTGGAGGGGAAAAAAAAATAAGTATTAATACACACGAGCATAACATCCCTTGCAACTTTTCTCAATGATCCAATGAATCACCGGGTTTTTCCTTAAGAACTTAAATACTTTGACCTCGGAGTTAATAGAGGTTAGCAATGCTGAGGTGCTAAACCTCACCCATAGAAAGATGTATACCATTCATATTCCTTTTTAAAGCAATATGCAAGCTCCTTATTTTCATTCCTAAACCAGCTGAGCCCTAACACCCTGCCTGTATCCCTGATTTTGGGGGGGGTTTCTACTGCCCACTTCTGGCCTCGGGCACCCTCACTGCTGCACAGCCCCTCTGCTACTGAGTTTGCTGCATCCCAGCTACTACTGAAACAAATAAATACAATTAAGTGTCCCTCATTTGTGATTACAAAACCACTTCAGAAACGTTCACTGAATCTCAGCTCTGCTGCCCAAATTCAGCCACAGGGTTTGTGGGATAACACAGCCACAGTGAGCCGAGCCCTCGGGTCAGCAAGGGGAACAGGGGAATGGAAAGGAGACCCGTGGGTTGAAATAGAAACAGATTTGATAAAATAATAATAAGAAAAAATAGTAACAGTGTTAATATAAAGTACACTGAGTTATACTGAGCTGGTATGGCACAGGAGTAGGCCTGAGACAGGTGAGACCCTTTTGGGGTGACAGCCATTGAAGAAGAAGAGCAGCACTCAGCAAACTCCCCAATTTATAGTGAGACACATGGTATAGCATCATTTTGGCTGGTCAGCTTGGGCTCAAATGCTTTGGGTTCCCACTTCCCCCAGCTTCAACACCAGACCTTGATCACCACATATCAGTGCCAGCCAAAAACCTAAACAAAGCATCTTACCGACTTTATTCCCATGAAATCGAGTA